AATATTAGCCCTGATCTTCATGAGTCATTGACAGTAGTTATTAAAACAGTCAATAAATTAAAATCTCATAGGAAATATGACAGACTTTTTCGAAGTTTTTGTATTTTACCGAAGGACAGTATAGAAGACTTATTATCCATACGGAAGTCCGTTGGCTTTCGAAAGGAATTGCCTGGCCAGATTTATCAACTTATTTGGTACAATAGTTAATTTCTTGGAAAATGTGGGTGAAAAAAAATGGCAGAGGAAATCAGACATCACAAATGTGACATCTACTTTTTAGCATGAATTTTTCGAAAGTAAGTTTCACTCCAGATTCAAGATAAATTATGCATATTGCTAAATTTGCAAACGTGTTCTGAAAGCCTTTTCTGAAAAATTACTTATTTTGAGTTGATATACAAAAGAATTTCAATAACATGCCCGAGTTAACAGAAGTAAGTGAATACCTCTCAGAACTAACAAGTAAAAAGTACTCAGAATATTTAGTGAAATTGAAAGAACTAAGTAACCGATTTTCAGATTGATTTTTATTAGAATTCCATCTGTGGATGATGGTTGCCTTCGGTTGTGACATAGAAGCTGTCAGTGAAAATATTCAGGAAGAACTTATTGAATTGAAGCACAATGATGAATGCAATAACAAATTTGAAAGCGGCTGAATAAAAGAATTAAGGCTGTCAAATCCAGCAAAGCAGCTGTATCCGAACATGTGGTCTGAAATGGCTAAAATACTGCTATGCTTTCCATCCTATTCTTTGGTTGGGGGCAAGGTGGAGTAATGGATAGCGGCTTGGATTGAGGAATCGGAGAGCTGAGTTCGAATTCCAGTCGAATCCATTATATCCACTTACGTGCTAATACCCTTGGGAAAGGTATGATTTCTCTTCTTCCCTACCCCCCCCAGCTATGGGTAAATAGCAGGACAGACTTGGATGGAAACTGGTTTACCGAAAATAGAAATGACAACCTACTGCGGGAAAAAATCTGCCTCGTCAGTCATGTATCGAAAGATACGTGATCGCCTAAGCGTGTATCATGCATGGCGCATAACGGATTTGGTTGAATGTGGATTCAGTGTAATCAATAAAATCTTGAGCAGAGAAATAAAATTGATATATATCCTCGAGGAGATATAAGACTAAAACTTAAAAATTTCGAACCAAATATTAAATTTCTTGCAGCAAAGTATCAACCACAAGGATCACATTAAAAAGTAATGTAGGTAAAATATTTGAATTTATATTCTTACCAATGGACGTCAGCGTTTACCCCGAAAAATAGCGAAAAGGGGACAATAGGATAAAAAAGATAAGAACCTCTGATTTAAACGCTTTAAGGAGGAAAATTTTCCCTAAAGAAAACCAAATTCAAGTCCATCGAAAAACTTTCCAGATCAAAACCTGCGGAATCTTACTCAAAAGATATTGAATGGCTGCTTGCTAAGTGGCAACGAGTCATTGGAAAAAAATATGAATATATAATTGAATAAGATGTAATTGTAGTTTATTCTTTGAAGAATGAACTTTGATAAATAAAAACAGAAATTATTTCTGACTCAACCTAATATACTAGGAGATATTACTATTAACATAAATGGTTAACCTAAATAATGGTAAGTTCGATCGTTGTGATTTTAAAGTCGATAATCTGACCAATATTGACACACGGAATGAAAGCTGATTGACTCCTTAACCTTAAGTTAACCTTCAGATGCTCTTATGCGAACTGGTCACCGGGCAGTACAGACAGCTCGTGACTAATTAATTAAATTGCCAAATTACAAGAAGTGAATACAATGCAAGGCTTTAAACCAAATACGAACTTCATTCAAATTCTTTAGGTCGTGCTGCGTCACGTTAATTATGCCGAAATACCAGATTTCGTGTCACTTCAGAGAAAAGGCAACAACAGTGGTGCCGACCGCTACTAAGTTGGTATCGTCGTAAAAACTGACTTATTTTTAAAAAAAACGATGTCAAGTGAAAATACTTTTGTGCATCCTTTGAATTGTTCCCTATTTCGAGAGGCAGCAGATTACACTACAATGGTAGGTTTGATAGACGATCACAATGTAGAGCCCTACATGCATGCATGCGAGAGTCACTACAAGTTATCGACACCTCCGCTTTTTGGACGTCTCCGGCATCAAGGTCTGAGCCTGATTCTCCCCTTAGAGTGCAATAAGGAAGGTATAGACTGTCACGGCAGCCACCTAGAACTGGTCAATTTACGCTTCCCCGCTAAAAGGTGGACGCGTGGCCGAATGATTAGAGAGGTTAGACTTCTGACCATGAGACTCTGGTTCAGATTGCACCATTGTCGGTTCTACAATATGGTGACTTCTTGATAATATCCGACTGGGAGTTGGGAAGTACTTGAAAACCATGTCCCGCGTTGATCCAAGCCTTATGAGTGAAATTGGGTAGATGAAACAGTTCGGAAATCATCAATGGTTGTGCCCTATGGGTAGTTATGGTCCTAATTAAGCATTTGTAAGTGAATCGGGTTTCGGAATTAAATGAGCCATAAAGTTGTTGATATACAGTTAAACAAAACTAAGCCGTACCAAAAGGCCGCAAAGTGATGTAATTTACTAAGCTTAGCTTATTTTCGCATAACGCCACAAATACTAGGCAGCCGGTGAGTACTGAACTGTTTACTGGTTATGGTAAACCAGGCTTTAAAAAAAATAATTTCACCCCAAGCAATGCAATACAATCTATTAAGACACAAGAGAGTTAATGTGAGAGAATGTGAGATAAAAACATTAAGGAGAGGGAATAACAAAACAACAGTAATTAGGAAGATAGACGAAAACGATTGACATTGCATTTAAATTTTTGAAGATCTAAGTTGACTGGAGTTCCGCAAGCGAGAAGTGCGAGAGAAGAAACTGTTAGCATAGGACTTATGATTACATATAGCAATTTCGAGTGTAAAATGAGACTTATCTGCCAATCTAGTATTGCGCTTAAAAACGTAAAGTTGAGGTACCAAAGAAGAAAGTTCATCAGAATAATTACCATGAAAATATTTATAGAAAAGGAACAGAGGAGCTACATTACGGCGGTGAAAAAAAAATGACTGAAACCGAGATGCTAGGTCAGGACTGATAACATTGCAGATTCTTCTTTCGATTTTATCAAGAATCTCTAAATACATGGCAGAAGCACCAAACCAGACGTAACAGCAATATTTGATGCACGGGGGAATGGTAGACTTGTAAACGATTAGCTCCTCAATAATTATTTCACACCGAATCTGTCATTGTTATTTAGTCAGCTTCGTTTGGTGCAAACATCTGTATTTTTTTTTTTTATAAAGTAAAAAATTTCCAAACTGAACACAGATGCGGATTCGTATTTATTAAATAGTTGCCTCTTTTTAAGCTGCTTTTTTCGTCTGGTCTTCATCAGATAAAGATCATCAAATCAAATCTTAAATATTATGACAGGATGAGATGAATGTGGAAATTGCTATATTTTTACGTTCGTGTCCACCGTAAAATCCGGTAATAATTATAAAAAATAAAAATCCAAATCCAATATTAATATAGAAATTAAGATAAAAATCCGGTGTTAATTGTGAAAAGTAATATCCAAATCCAATATTAATATAAAAATATGTTAATAATTATAAATATAAATATCCGATGTTTAATTACGAAAATTAAAATAAAATCCAATATTAATTATTCTGCTCTGCCTGTTTTTTTTGGGGTTTTTTTGGGTTTTTTTTATTTACAGTGAGGTTCACCCTTTACAAGGTCCTGGAACCACTCGAAGTTGAGAGTTACAGATTAAGCCATAGTTTATGCGGATATGTGAAGAAGATAACGGTTAACTCTAGACTTGGACACGTTACGATTGTAGTTATGGGGAAAACATGCTCTTGGGAATCGGTTCCACAGAGCAGTGATTCGCGGGAAAAAGCTGCTCGAGTGGAACTTTTCACCAATGAAATACGGAGGGAATGAGGGTAGTTATCAACCCATTGCAGGTTATTTAAAGCCAGAAATCGAACGCTTTCAACTAGATTATTGGTCATTATTAGGATCCGATTTTCTACGATTTTCAAACTCGGCGTTTGTGCTTAATAATGGCGTTGACATGCAGACGAGGTCCTTTACAGTTCTTCAGTTGTTGAAGACGTTCAAAATCCCAGTTTACAAACTTTTTGGCTTTGGATGTTTTTAATTTTATAAATATGGGTTCTTTCCTTTTTTTCTTTTCTTTTTACAATAAATGTCATGCAGAGTGCGACAGAAATACCTCCAACATAATGGAAAGACATTATCCACAATGGAGTCTTCATTTAGCTAATGTCTTAATGAAGTAAATGTGGGATGTATTTCTGCCGAATCTTATATAATACACACGATTTTTTTTTACTTGTATGTTCGTAGAAATGTCGGTGTTGAGCGATCCGTTTATTACAAAGAGCACGAGTGGCACTTTGAACGAAGAGTTGGCATGTTAATCTCCGGGATAGGGGAGTTGTATGTCCAGCATTACGACTTTGATGTTTGTGTAGTATGTAACATACTTCCTCAAAGTGACAAAAAATTCATAGTTGATATTAGTACGGTTTCGTGAATAGTTTTGAGAGCATGCATTGTTAATAATGACGCAATTAGATCTTTTTATTTCTTGTAATATAGTTTCTCATCTGGTATAAGTGTCTGAGAGCGTAACATCAACAAAAAGTTTCATTTTTACGTCGTTACAACGTCAAATTAAATTATGATAAAACAAATACAAATAGATTAATTTATTCGTTTTCTACGGTTTATCAACCCATTGCAGTTTATTTAAAGCCAAAAAGTATTTTTAGATTGTAAGAAATTTTTTTTAGATAATAATGGTTTAGTTATAGAAGTCATTATGATTAACCTATAGCTGGGAGGAGAAGAGGTGGATTCATACCTTTCCCAACATAAAGAAACCAACGGGAATTCGAACTCTGCTATTATCCATTACACCACCTGCACACCCAAGCTTACAGCACCTGGTATTCTCAAACGGTTACATTTAGGTACTGAACAGGTTCGACATTGCTTAACTTCGGTGATCGTACGGGAACCAATGTTTTAATGTGATGTGACCGAAAGCCCTGGAAACTAATCTTGACATTATTTACATTCGGATTAATGTCCTCATCTTTGCTATTATTATCACAATATTTTTGCCGTTGTGTACTCCGGGCTTCTTCCGGTGTCTATCGATCCAGTTAATCTTCATAGAATTTTGAACAGAACTCTTTATTTAATCTATGGCGGTAGATTGTTTTCGTTCTGTTTTCCACGTCGAAAAATATCTTTTTTTTTTTTTTTTTTTTTTTTTTTTTTTTAACCTTTTTAGCACTGCTCAGTTATTGTTCGCCCTGTTTCCACTGAGTCTGAATCTGTACTACCCAGTCCAGGGATTGAACTCAAAATTACTTCTTTAGTCCTGCTCAGTTATTGCTCGCTCTGTTTTCACTGAGTTTGAATCTCTACTACTCAGTCCAGGAATAGAACTTACAAATTTCCGGCAAATTAATGAACCAACGCGTTAATCCACTAGTCTATTGTCTCGTGAGACAGTAGCCTAATAGATTCTTTCCCATGAAGGCATGCCAATTCACATATGATAAAGAAAAATAATATGTAGCGAGTCATAATCACCTTCGTCCTGAAAGGATATGGCAATATAAAATCTCCACCGCCCCGTTTTTGGAACGGTGGGTATTAATGAGTTAAACAATAAAAGAAATCACGACAGGGATTGAAAAGATTTTTTGTAATGTTTTAAATAAAAATGAATGAACGTAAGTAGAACGTGTGTGTTAACGGCTCGGAATGAAAACTCAGAGATCCGAGTTTGAATTCCAGTCGGGTACGATACATTCACTTACGCGCAAATACCCTTGGGAAAGCTATGAATCCACCTCTTATCACCCCAGCTATAGGTTTAATAGCAGGACAGACTGAGTCCTATAGGCTTTGGTAGCAACCAGTCTACCGCAGAAAGAAACTGTCATTATCAGTTATGAATCGAGACATGATCGCCCATACGTCAATCCTCTGTGGGGACTTAACTAACTGAAGTTAGAACAAAAAATATCAGAATTCAAATATGATTAGGAACGCTTAAAACGCTGAACAGACAAAAAAAAGAAAATAAAGAAAAAAAATTCTATATTTATCCTTTCATAATATCCTGAAAAATTAATGTCCGCGATACTAATTTCTGAAAAAACTATTGGCCATTTTTGGACTCTGATCCACATTAAAAAGGTCTTCGGTCACATTCTGAACGAGTAGGTATTCTGTTAAATATCTTAATGTACTCAAAAGATTAAAAGAAAAACAAACGAATTCCTTTGGTTTTCACAACGAAATTTGGGTAACAGAGATAAACTAGCAGTTGGACGGCCTTGCTATGGGCAGCTCTTTGGGTCCCACTTTCGCCAATATATTCATTGGTTTACATGATCAGTGCTTGTTCAAGGACATTAATAAACTCTTTTGATTTTTACGTTATGCAGACCACACTTTCGCCATCTTTAGAACGAAATTAGATGAGTCTGGGAATTTCTTACATTCCGTTCTTACTTTTACTAGAGAAAAGGAGAGTAATATTTTGCTTTCCTTCCTTGCCTTAAATAAGAAATCTCAATTTCCATTTCTCACGAGTGAGCCCCCCTTTTGTGGATCATACTTGCATTGAGATGACTTTAGTATCTGTGGTAATAAAATGAGCACATTCCATCTCCCCTCTCGCTTGTAACCATCCATCTATCACAATAAAATAAACGTTTTTCAGCACTAAATCTGAATGGGTCAAATAAATCTTCTACTTAGAGTTGTTACTATATTACAGTATTTAAATAGAAAAAAATCAATTTAATAAAAACTAAATTGCATCGAGGCTTAATAATTTGTTTCACCTGTAAATTGTTCCGTGAGTTGGGTTTTGTCAAGTTCGCCCTTATTGAGATGTTTTGATAGACTGTTTAAAAAAATGATGTCAAATTTACATCATTACGTGTCGCCAAAATTTCAACTATCCCTTCTGATTCTAAGTCTCCCTTTTTGTTTCCATTTTTCTTAAAATTTTCCCTTGATCTCATTCTTCATCCTTGGTATTTTCAGCACTTTTCTGTTGAACCATATCTCTGTTATCACTCTTTTCATTTGGGAAGACATTATCTCGGATTCACAGCTATTTTCGTATTTTCTTCATTTCAGATGAAAACTTAGATATTTTCACTTTTCAATATTATAGTTTATAATTATTGTTTAGCTATAGGGACAAAAAAAAAAGATATAGCTTAAAGGAAGATACAGATGATTTTGCCAACAAAAGGCGAATTCAGTTCGATTTTAACATTTTTTAGGAAGTGGGGACTTTTTTATCAGTAAGATGTGATCGATAATGTTGAATTTTACAAAAAAGTTAAATTTTGCTTTTGTGTTTCCAAATAAATAGCAGTTGCAGCAAGGATTTTTTTTAAACTTCGGAAAGATATAAAGTATTTCCTGGAAGTAAGTTAAAGACGAAGTTTTTCACCAGCAGATAATACAGATACTTTACGAAGTATAGTAACAGTGTTGAGAATTGGATATAATTCCGGTCCAGTCTTACTCCCCACCCACTTTCCGAAAGTCGGAAAATTAAAGCCGATTTAAAATATTGGGCATTGCTACACCAGCGTTCAGATGACGTCGAGACAAAACACTTGATGGCTGCCAGTTATCCGTCCTGGTGTTTCACTCTTTCGTTTCACAATGGCTAGTTCCTGGGAATCCAACCTCCAGTAGGGGATCAAGGATCTTTTCAGACGACGCTTTTAACAATATCCTGATGTAACTGTCTTTTTTTTTTTTTTCTTTTTATTTCAATTACTCTGGCACAGGTATGTCATCGGCTCTTTTTTTTTTTTTTTTTTTTTTTAAACATTCCCCCCAAGCAAGGCAATAATGGAAGCTACTGAGTGTGAGCGAATATGGCGGGGGGGGATAAAACATTATTAAAGAGATTTTTTTTAATAAAGTAAATCGACATTCTAAAATATTTTATAAAAAACAAATAATTTACGATTACTTTATTAAAAATAATTAAAAACAAAAAACTGCTTCATAATTTACATAATGTCTTTTCAAATCCCTTATTTAATGAAAAATATTCACTAATTAAGGTTTTAATCCTTAATAAATTACTTTTATCTGGTTATAAAAAAAATAGTTACATCTTTCTGGCGTTGAGTTGTCTCAGTCATGAATTGTTCCGGCGCTCAGTCGGCGGCGTTGAGTTGTCCTGCACCCGTAAAGTACAACACGGACATAGTCGGCGCTGTTATATCCCCTTATTTAACACCATTTTCAACCAATATTAGATCAGAGAATTTAATACCTACGTTGACACATGCTTTCATCCCTTCATTGAAAACTCTAGGAACAGAGACAAACTTATCGGGTAATTTCTTCTCACCAGAATCTCTCTTACATATTTATAAGTCTACCATTCATCCTTGCTTTGAATATTGTTGCAACGTCTGGTCTGTTTTTCAGGCTGTTTTTAGTGATTCGTGATAAAATCCAGAAGAAAAGAATCTGCAATGTTATTGGTCTTGTCCTTGTATCTCGCCTTCAGTCCCTTTCCCATCGCCGTAACGTAGCTTCCATGTGTCTCTTCTATAAATATATTCATGGTAATTGTTCTGACGAAATTTCTTCTATAATATCTAGACTTTTAAAATTTAAGTACTAGATTGACTGTAAACTCTCATCAATTTACAGTTGAAATGGCTAGTTATTAACCGTAAGTTCTATGCTAACGGTTTCTTCTATCACACTTCTTACTTGTGGAACTCTCTTCCGGCTTCTTGCTTCCCAGTCAATTTTGATGTTCAAATATGAACCTGTTTTTATTTTATTTTTTTTTTTTTATAAAGTAAATCGTAAAGAAATTTTTTTAATATAGTAAACTGACATAAAAATAATTCAATAAAACACACTTATTTTTTTATTATGTTTTTAAAATGAATCGAAAGATGCAAAACAAAATGAAGCATTTTTTTTGTTTTTAATCATTTTTAATAAAGTAAATCGTAATATAATTTAAAGAGAGAGAGAACAATAAAAGAACAAAAATAAAAGAACAATTGGCATTACATTTAAATTTTTGAAGATCAAAGTTGACTAAGAAACAAGAAATCGGAAGAGTTCCACAAGCGAGAAGTGCGATAGAAGAAACTGTAAAATGTAACATATGGACAAAGTTTTGGGCAGGGAGTGGTGGTCATAATTTGTCTTATGTTGTTGCAATCACTGACCCCCTTTTTTTTTTTTTTTTTTTTTTTTTTTTTTTTTAATTTTTCACCCCAAGCAAGGCAATAAACCTACCAAAAAGCAAGGGTGAGAAAAACTATTATTAAGGAGAGAAGACAAATAAAAGAATAAGAATCAAGACAAATAACGATTGGCATTGCATTTAAATTTTGGAAGATCAAAGTTGACTGGGAAGCAAGAAACCGGAAGTGAGTTCCACAAGCGAGAAGTGTGATTTTTTTTTTTTTTTTGTTCTTATACCAAAAATAAAAAAAGCCATATGCATAATTACATATTCTCACGTGGTTATCGTTTTGGATCACCGTCTCTTGATGGTTCATATTTTTAAATAATGCCTTTTCAAAGGCCTTATTTGAAGAAAAATATTTACTAATTAAGGTTCTAATCCTAAATAAATTACTTTTGTTCGGTTATTAAAAAAAAAAAAAAAGTTGTTTTCTGATGCCGAGTTGTCTCAGTTCTGAGTTGTCCCGACCCTGAGTCGGCGGTGTTGAGTTGTCCCTTCCCGGTACTTTACTATGGTATTCTTGTTGGCCTTTAAAGGATGCTCACATCAAATATCATGAGGTTGTTTTATGAACGTAAGAGCATAGATTATTAGAAATTGTAAGATAGATGACGGCTGATCTTAGAATTCAAGAGGTTATGGTTGTAATGAGGAGACAAATATTTTCTCGGGGTTCCGTTCTCCAAAGCAGCGGCTCTTGGGAGAAAGCTATCCGAATGGAACTTCTTAACAATAGAATACGAAGGGATATAAAAATGGTTCGAC